GTCATCATCGCCAATAACCTTCACTCGGCCGCTCTGACTTAAGTCGAAGCATCAGCATCCATTCACTGAAAAAAGAAGAGGAAAGTGAGTATATGTCCCAAAGCGATGTTCATGACCGAAATGAATGGAAAACCACACATCAACTCAGAAGAAAAAGCAATTATTTGTTCTGGAAAAAACCAGAGATGCATCAGTAAAGAGCATATCAATGACGGCAGCGGGTTGAATCGAAAGAATGAGCCATATCACAACAGCAACAATGCAGTGAATCAAGAGGATAGGGCTCAGCTACGAACATCATAGCCCTAAGCTCGCAGCCATCGAAGATATTCAAAGCCGCATCAGAGGGATCCATGGGCACCACAGTTGAAATTCGGAGAGGCGTATCAAGTTTAAGTAACATATCTGCAACAAAACCAGAAACCCACATCAGTTCAGATTATCTAAATCACATCAAGAAATCAAAGCGAAATCCAAAGTAAGAGAAGCAGATTATCCAAAACGAAATCCAAATTGAAAATCTGGAATTACATCAGAAAAATCCGAGTGAGTTCTGAAAATGGAAAGAATCCCCAATCAAATCGAAAAATATCAGATTCACAAATCCACAAAGAGCAAATCAAAATCGCGATCCAATCTCAGAAAAATAACGCAAATCCAAGGCCCAAAAGAGAGTCAAAAGAGGAATTATAAAAGGGAACGATATCACCTCGTTGAAACCCTAGAAAAAACGGCGAGCAACAACTGCAAGCAAAACCCTAACGAAAAATCGCGAGAACCCTAGAGACAGAACGACGGCGAAACCACCATCGCGAGCAAACCCTAGTGGTCGCGAAAGGGAGAGGATTCACCGGCGCCATTTAAAGCCACGACGAGCAAATCCCATCCGTCGAGGCTCAGTTTATCATCATTGCCTCCGATTGAACCCACCGTAAGCGTTTCGTTCCATTATCATCCTGTTAACCATTTTTCTATTTTTTTTAGTGAGTGGAGAAGGTGATATAACAGAAGCCGAGTGATATCGTGAATGAGACACGGCCGCGAGAGAGAAAGACGAGTAGCAACCGAGAGAGATGAAGGATAAAGCTGAAACGGCGCCGCGGAAGAGGTTTCAGGGTTATGAAACCCTAACAAGCACTTTGTTGCCATTAACATGACCGGGTTGGGTCCGGATGTGATGACCGGCCCAACCCCTTTTTTTTATGTTTTGTTTTCTTTTATAATTAGTTAATTAAGTTTATTAAGTTTTTTTAAAAATTAACTAGAAAATTGTTTTCCTAAAAAGTAATAATAAAAACCTTTTTTTTTATAAAATTCAAAACATTTTTTTAATAAATAAAAACTATTTTTTATAAACGCATTAAAATCTTTTTTTTAAAAAATATAATAACTAATGTTAAATAATTTTAGGGTTGGAGTTGAAATAATAATTTCACTTTTAAATCAGAGTTCTCAGGGATCATAAAATAAAAACCACAAAGTAAGGACTACCTACTCCATTATAGTGGGGATAGTCTTACTAAGGAAAGGATAAAGAATAAGAAAGACCTTAAAACATTAGGGTAGGCTACTCCTAGATACTTGCTCGCTTCAAAACTTTTTCACACTTAAACAAATTTCCAACAAAATTTTCAAACAAGTTTTTTTTCACATCCATACACGGATTATTATTAAACTATTCTGAAATTTTTTGCTATTCACACACTACACTTTCAAAACAATTCAAAAGTGAGCTTAAGTACCTAAGAGCCCATGGATAACCATGGATGAAAAGGGTGCTAACACCTTCCCTTTTCATAACCTACCCCCCGGACCCAAAATATTCTCTAAGGTCTTTCCTGTTCTTTTATAACCTTTCCTTATGGATAAAATAAAAGTCGGTGGCGACTCTTGCTATCCGCAACATTGTTTAAAGTCAGTTCTCCCACCGTGATGACCGGCCCAACCCCTTTTTTTAATGTTTTGTTTTCTTTTATAATTAGTTAATTAAGTTTATTAAGTTTTTTTTAAAATTAATTAGAAAATTGTTTTCCTAAAAAGTAATAATAAAAACCTTTTTTTATAAAATTCAAAACATTTTTTTAATAAATAAAAACTATTTTTTATAAACGCATTAAAATCTTTTTTTTAAAAAATATAATAACTAATGTTAAATAATTTTAGGGTTGGAGTTGAAATAATAATTTCACTTTTAAATCAGAGTTCTCAGGGATCATAAAATAAAAACCACAAAGTAAGGACTACCTACTCCATTATAGTAGGGATAGTCTTACTAAGGAAAGGATAAAGAATAAGAAAGACCTTAAAACATTAGGGTAGGCTACTCCTAGATACTTGCTCGCTTCAAAACTTTTTCACACTTAAACAAATTTCCAACAAAATTTTCAAACAAGTTTTTTTTCACATCCATACACGGATTATTATTAAACTATTCTGAAATTTTTTGCTATTCACACACTACACTTTCAAAACAATTCAAAAGTGAGCTTAAGTACCTAAGAGCCCATGGATAACCATGGATGAAAAGGGTGCTAACACCTTCCCTTTTCATAACCTACCCCCCGGACCCAAAATATTCTCTAAGGTCTTTCCTGTTCTTTTATAACCTTTCCTTATGGATAAAATAAAAGTCGGTGGCGACTCTTGCTATCCGCAACATTGTTTAAAGTCAGTTCTCCCACCGTGTTACAGAAGGATCTTACTAATTTGGGGGAAAATTCTTCTAAGTCTTCTTTATATTTTGCAAGTTTTGTTTCTTTCTCTCTGGGTGAAGGAAAGTTGAGTTCATTTTGGTCTGCTCATTGGATTTCCGTCACTCTACTGGCTGTTAGTTTTGAATTATTGTTTGTTAGAAGTTCTGCTAAGAAGAACTAAGTGAGATCCATGGGTGAATTCAAAGAAGGAGTGTGGTGTTGGGGAGATTTTAGCTTGCCTGCGAATTTATCTACAACCTACCAGCTGCAGCAGATGAGAAGCATTTTGTAGCAATGTGTGCCTGTTTTGGACTCTCCTGACACGATAACTTGGAGATTGGGAGATAACAAGGCTTTTGCTGTTCGTGACCTATACAAAAAGATGGTTTCGGTTTCTAAGCAAGTTGCGGTCCATCCCCATCAAGCTTTGTCTTTCAAAATGATATGGAAGCTGAAGATTCTGCCTAAATTTAAAATGTTTGGTTGGAGGCTTTTTTGGAATATATTGGCTACGAAGGACAACTTAAGGAAACTCGGAATGTATTTTTCTGATCTCACTTGTTCTTTATGCAGGAGTGAGGAAGAAAGCTTACACCATATGCTTTTTAGTTACTCGTTCGCTATTTCGATTTGGAATTATATTGGTGATTGGTGCGGCTGTGACTCTTCTTTTGCAGGTTGTTTTTGGAGTTTCTTTATATCTTGGATAAGAGATGGTAGGAACAGTGCTGAGTCGGGTATGCTGGGTAATTGTTGGATAACGATCTGCTGGTGTTTGTGGAGGGATAGAAATAGTTTCATTTTTAGAAATGAGCTTATTAATTTCATAAACATTTGTTGGGAAATCAAACTCTTGTTGTGGAAATGGGTGCTTTTGAGTGATATTTCTTCTTCCAACTCCAATTTCTTGTCTTTCTTTATGAATCCCCTAGGATTTTAGGTTTTTAATTAGTGTGGAGTTGGAGAGAAATATCTTGTATCCCGTTGTTTCTGTTTTCGGGCGAATACCCCTTGTAATCAAATTAATTCCATTTGCTTTTCGAAAAAAAAAAACATTTTCAATTTATACATTGAATACGTGACTTTTTTTTTTAATAATACTAAAAAAAATAGACAAATTTATCATCGAAGAATATGAAAAAGTAGGATGTTAAATTTTTGTCTTCAATTAATATAGACAAAAATTGAAACAAATCTTTGTAAAATTTAATCCTAACAATTTAGTGCATATTTTCATAACAAAAGTTTTTAAAGTCATAGTGCATCGTAGTTAATTTCTTTTAAATAGAATTTAATTGAAATAATTTTAGTTATAAATGTTGAATTTTAAGAAGAATTTGACTTTTATTTTAGGCTTAAATACATTTTTAGTCCCCCTATTTACAAATTTGTAACGTTTTAGTCCTCATTTTATTTTTTTTCCAGCCTTTTAGTCCCTCAAGTTGTCACTTTTTGGGATTTTTTTAGCCCCCCTCTTGTTTTGGTTATGTGGCGCTCAAAATGGGGATTGGGCATGGTCAGTCCAATGTCAAGTCATTTAAATAGTTGACAAGTTAATGACATGACATAAAATTTGTATTTTCATTATTTTTTAAACCTGCAATGAATTTGAACCATGTTTATATATCAAAGAGCTCTAATTTCTTCATAATTTCCCTAATTTCTTCAGTTGTTTCCATAACCTCATCAACAATCTGCAAACGAATTTGCACCGTGTTTATATATCAAAGAGCCCTAATTTCTTCATAATTTCCCTAATTTCTTCAGCTGCTTCCATAACCTCAACAATCTGCGAATGAATTACGAAGACACCATGGAATGTAAAGAGAAAGGAAGAACGAAAAGTAAGGAAGAAGTGAAATACTGTATGAGGTAAGTGAAACTTTTTTGACTGGAATTAGGGTTTATGGTCCCATATTCGTTTCTTTATTCATAATGTGGTCCCTTCTTCGTTTTCTTTATTCTGAATGTGGGTCCTAAAAAATGTTGTTTATTCTGAATGTTGGACCAAATAATGTTGTTTAGACTGAATTAAGGTTTATTATGAATGTGGTCCCTAATATTGATGTTTATTGTGAACCCTTGTTTGTATTACCGACCAAGTCAAAAGCAAGGCATTAGAATAGGATTTCATCTTAGGGGAAAGTTAGTGTCTGAACCTGTGAAGTGGTATGTTAACGGGGTAATTTTTGAAATGAACTGGGAATGAGATATGGATTATGTGTCGTATATGCAATTGAGAGAGTTGATTCACAATTAGGGATATACCAATATTAAGTGTGAATGGAAAGGAACATGACAATGTAGATGATAATGGCAATATGGAGTGCTGCAAGAGCTACAACCATTCCAGTATGGGAGAGGGCAGTGCAACGATTAAAATCTTTGAAAGAAGCAGCTTGGAAGGATATGTTGGACATCCCTACTCACTTATGGACCAGGTCACATTTCAAAACATACTCTAAGTGTGATCTACAAGTTAATAGTATGTGTGAGGGCTTCAATAGGAAAATTCTAGAGTGTATGGATAAACCCATAATCACTTTGTTGGAGGGTATTAAACATTATTTGACTAAGAGGATTACTAGTCAAAAGGAGCTTATGAATACATACACTGGTGATATTTGCCCTAGAATTCAATGGGATTTGACCGGTACTCCATGTAGTCATGCCATATCATGTATATGGCAAAACAAGAAAAAACCTGAAGATTATGTCTCTGAGTATTACAGGTTTGTGCATTCACCATATAAATCTGTTTATTATGTTTGCTTAGTATGACTAAATTTGTTTATTATTGGTTGTGCAGGAAGTCACATTTTAATAACAGTTATTCACATATAATCTACCCTACAAATGGGCCCCAACTATGGCCTTTGTTGGAGGGTCAGGTACCAATCAAACCACCAGTGCTCAGAAGGGCCATTGGTCGACCTAAAAAGCTTAGGAACAAAGTGAGTGATGAACCAAGAAATCCACATGTACTTCCTAGGAAGCTTACAACTGTGAGTTGTCATAAATGTGGTGCCATGGGACACAACAAAAGGAGTTGTAAAGGAAAAATGGCTGCTGAGAGAGTTATTCCTAAAGGTGGTAACAAGAAGAAGGGCAATGCATCAAAGGATGGAAAGAGACAAAACTTGAAACAAAAGGTAGAAAGAAGACAAAGGCAGCTGTAACAGAAATTGGGAACTCATCACAAGCACCTCAACCTTCTCAAGATTAGTTCAAGTTAGGTTTTATGTAATGAGTTTGTAGTCATTTTGTAATCAGTTTGTTGTCCATGTATTGGAACAAGTTATTGTCTATGTAATGACTTTAATGATATCTCTATGAAGTAATGCTCAATTTCAACTTCCTTGTTAGTTAATTATACAGTATTGGAACTGACATGTCCTTTAATTCATCACAACCTTCCTAAGTAATAACTATAATTGGAACATGTACTAGGTTTGATCATGTTGGTTAAGTTAGAGATATATTAGGATCTCTTAAAAGTAGCTAAATATATGAAAAAAATGCATTTTTGCAAGTTTTCAATCTTTGAGTCGACTCATAACCTGCTTAGGTCGACTCATACATAAGTTATTTTTTCATGTATTGCTCTCAGGAGAGCTCGCGTCGACCCTCCGATCGAATCATACTGTGTGCATTTGTGATTATCTAAATTGGGGTCCTGTGCATTGACGCGTGACCTATTCCGGTCGACACAAAGTGCTGTTTTCTGCATAGTTCTGAAATCGGGAGAGCTCAGGTCGACCCTCCCGTTGCTGTAGGTCGACCACTTGCGCGTTTACTTTCAAAGTGTTTGTTAAGTTGGTTAATTATTTTCACATTTGCATAAGCAACATGACTAATTGGAACATGTTCTATAAGCAACATCTGCTATAATAATCTGCTATAAAAATCATATAACCAAGATACGATATAAACCATAAAATAAACCAAAAATAATTCTCATTCTCATTCATCAATTCATGGGTTACATTCATATAAACTATAAACATATTAAACCAAAAACCATCATTCTCATTCATCAATTCATGGGTTACATTCATACAGTCAAATTCATTACACTTGTTACTATTAGAATATTAATAGTAATTCATATTTATTTATTTGTACTATTTTCCTTAGCTCCTAAGTTTGTTAGAGGGTATTTTAGTATTTTATCTTATTCTAGTAACCCTAGTTTTAGCTTATAAATAGGGTGACAATCATTGTAACTTTCATCATGTTTTGTAGCCGTCATTCTTAATAGAATATTTCTCCTTTTCATCATTTATTCTACCTTTGCACCAACAATTGGTATCTAGAGCTCCGGTTCAGATTCATTGGGAAACACGGGAAACACGAGTGAACGTGAGGTCTTGTGTGTTTGATTTTGATTCTTAGATTCGTGTTGAATCTTGAACAAAATCTGATCAGAATTTTATTCTGTGGGTTGGGAAACACTGTGTGAGAAATCTGAGTGTATTGTGCAAGGTGAAGATGAACGGAAACGGCAACATGAACACCAAGCTTCTAGTATTTGACGGTAAAAACTGGAATCGTTGGATGATCCAAATGCGTGTACTGTTTGGTGCTCAAGATGTTTTAGATCTTGTCACTGATGGTTATGTTCCGGTAGCAGCAGATGCAACGAATGAACAGAAAAACGCGCAGAAGGAAGTAAGGAAGAAGGATCAGAAAGCATTATTCTTTATTCATCAATGTGTTGATGTAAATGTGTTTGAGAAGATTGCAGATTCAACGACAGCAAAGGCTGCGTGGGACACACTGGTTAGATGTTATGGTGGTGACGCATCAGTGAAGAAGGTGAAGGTTCAGTCCTTGAGAAAGCAATATGAGAATCTCAACATGAAGAATAATGAGAAAGTTTCTGAATACAAAGCTTCTAGTATTTGACGGTAAAAACTGGAATCGTTGGATGATCCAAATGCGTGTACTGTTTGGTGCTCAAGATGTTTTAGATCTTGTCACTGATGGTTATGTTCCGGTAGCAGCAGATGCAACGAATGAACAGAAAAACGCGCAGAAGGAAGTAAGGAAGAAGGATCAGAAAGCATTATTCTTTATTCATCAATGTGTTGATGTAAATGTGTTTGAGAAGATTGCAGATTCAACGACAGCAAAGGCTGCGTGGGACACACTGGTTAGATGTTATGGTGGTGACGCATCAGTGAAGAAGGTGAAGGTTCAGTCCTTGAGAAAGCAATATGAGAATCTCAACATGAAGAATAATGAGAAAGTTTCTGAATACATCTCCAGAGTGATTTTGATCACTAATGAGATGAAGGCGTGTGGAGAAACTCTTTCTGAAGAAACAATCATGGAGAAGGTATTGAGATCCCTTACCTCTCAATTTGATTACATTGTGGTAGCAATAGAACATTCCAAAGATCTGAGTACCATGAGAATTGAAGAGTTGTAGAGCAGTTTAGAAGCGCAAGAGTTGCGTTTGACTGAGAGAACTTCTGAAAGGGAAGTAGAGCAGCAGGCTCTGAAAGCAACTTCTGATAGGAGGTATCAGAAGCAGTCAGAAGCCAAGAGAAGATCTGATGGTGGTCAGAAGTCAGAAAGCTCAATCTCTGATAGGCAAAAGAATGCTCAGAAGGGAAAAGAGAAGTATGACAAGAAGAAGATCCAATGTTACTGTTGTAAGAAGTTTGGTCACTTTGCTAGAGATTGTTGGTCAAACAAGGAGAAGAAATTAGAAGAAGTAAATATAGCCAGAAGTTCTGATGACGAATCTGTGCTATTGATGGCCTCTGAATCTGATGATCTGACAGACTGGTGGTATATGGACACTGGCTGTTCAAATCATCTTACTGGAAACAAGAAATGGCTGGTTGACTTTGACTCTGAAAAGAGGACAAAGATCAGATGTGCTGATGACAAATATCTTAATGCAGAAGGTATGGGAAATGTCAGAGTGACTCTGAACAATGGGAAAACAGCATTGATTCAAAACGTGTGGTATGTACTTGGCATCAGAAGCAATCTGATGAGTGTGGGACAATTAATTGAGAAAGGTTTTTCAGTTACCATGAAGGACAATCTTCTGAAATTGTATGACTGCAATCAGAAGTTGATTATGGAGTCAGAACAGGGAAGGAATAGAACATTCAAGGTGAATGTCAGAACTGCAGACTCAGAATGTCTTAGTGCAACATGTGCTGAGAAGGAGAGTGAGCTGTGGCACAGAAGATTTGGTCATTTGAATTTCAGAAGCCTAAAACATCTGAATTCAAAGAAGCTGGTACATGGAATTCCTGCAATTAAGAAGCCTGAGAAGTCATGCAAAGTTTGCATGGAAGGAAAACAACCACGTTTACCATTTGCGTCAGAAGTTGCTCCAAGAGCAAAACATGCCTTGGGAGTTGTACATTCTGATGTGTGTGGTCCATTTCCAGTAGCATCAATTGGAGGGAATAAATACTTTGTGTTATTTGTTGATGAATTCACAAGAATGACATGGGTATCCCTTATTAAATTTAAACATGAGGTGTTTGATGAATTCAAGAAGTTCAAAATGAAGGCTGAGAATCAGAGTGGTCAGAAGTTGAAGATTCTTAGAACTGATGGTGGAGGTGAGTATAACTCCAAAGAGTTCCAGAAGTTCTGTGAGGAGAATGGAATTGAGCATGAGGTTACTGCTCCTTATACCCCTCAACACAATGTTCTTGCTGAAAGAAGAAACCGTACTTTGCTTGATATGGTGAGAAGCATGCTAAAGGAGAAGAAACTTCCTCAGAAGCTCTGGGGAGAAGCTGTTGCCACTGCAACGTATGTACTCAACAGATGTCCTACGAAGAAGTTGAAGGAAATAGTTCCAATACAGAAGTGGACTGGAGATAAGCAAAGTGTTAGTCATCTAAAGGTGTTTGGTTCTGTTTGCTATAAACATGTTCCAGAAGCCAGAAGACAGAAGCTGGATGATAGAAGCAAAGTGATGATTCTGATAGGGTACCACAGTACAGGTGCATACAAGCTCTATTGTCCAGAAACCAATAAAATTGAATTCAGCAGAGATGTGATTGTGAAGGAATCAGAAGTTTGGAATTGGGATAAGTCTCAATCTGATTCTGATGTTAGAACTTCTGAAGAAAGGTCAGAGTTAAGAATTTCTGAAGTTGAAGTAAACTCTGACGTTGATTCTGACTCTGATAGTGATTCTGACTCTGGAGAAGACTCAGAAGATGAAGGTGACTCTGATGATCCAGACTCTGATGGTAATCCAGATTCTGGTGGAAATTCAGACTCTAAAGATGGCCAAGACTCTGAAAATATGCCAGATCTTGAAGATGGTCAAAGCTCTAGAGGAAGTCAACCATCTGAAGCTGGAAACTCTGAAGCTCAAGACTCTGAACAAGTTCAGAGACCACAAAGAATCAGAAGCGTTCCCAGAAGATTTGCAGAATTTGACATGCTGCAAGACACTGAAGTAGACTCTGAAGGAGAAGTTATTCAGTGTGCCATGTTAGTAGACTCTGAACCTATAAGTACAAAGGAGGCTCTTAAGCAGAAGCTCTGGCTGAAGGCCATGAAAGAAGAACTTGATGCTATAGAGAGAAACAAGACTTGGAAGCTGACAGAACTTCCAAAAGACAAGAAAGCCATCAGCGTCAGATGGGTTTTCAAGCAGAAGTTAAAGCCAGATGGCTCAATTGGAAAACATAAAGCAAGGTTGGTAGCCAGAGGATTTCTACAGAAACCTGGGCTGGATTATTCTGAAGTGTTTGCACCTGTAGCAAGACATGAAACAATCAGAATGGTGATTGCAATAGCTGCTAACAAGAATTGGCCTCTGATGCATTTAGATGTAAAATCTGCATTTCTGAATGGTCCATTAGAAGAAGAAGTTTACGTGTCACAACCTCCTGGATTTGTGAAAAAGAATCAGGAAGGGATGGTGTACAGATTATACAAAGCTCTATATGGACTGAAACAAGCGCCCAGAGCTTGGAATCAGAAGATTGATTCATTTTTCAAGAAGCAAGGCTTTCAGAAATGTGAGATGGAGTACGGTGTCTATGTTCAGCATACTTCTGAAGGCAATATGACTCTGGTATGTTTATATGTTGATGATATACTATTGACTGGAAGTTCTGAACAGGAGATAGCCAAATTCAAGAAAGTTCTGATGAATGAATTTGAAATGACTGATCTAGGCAAAATGACATACTTTCTAGGGATGGAGTTCAGATATTCTGAGAAAGGTATCATTTTACATCAGCTCAAGTATGAATTAGAACTTCTGAAGAGATTTGATCTGAAGAATTGTAAGATGGCTGTCACACCTTCTGATACAAATCAGAAACTGGATTCAGACTCTGAAGGAAAAGATGTGGATGCTACAACCTTCAAACAGTTGGTTGGTTCTCTGAGGTATCTGTGCAATACCAGACCTGATATTTGCTACTCTGTTGGGATGGTTAGTAGGTTCATGAGTAAACCTAAGTGGTCCCATTACCAAGCTGCTGTCAGGATTCTGAGGTATATCAAAGGAACTCTGAAGTATGGAGTGTTATTTCCCTCTGGAGGAAATAATGAGTCAGAACTTCTGAGTTATTCAGACTCTGATTGGTGTGGAGACAGAGTTGACAGAAGAAGTACATCTGGGTACTTGTTCAAATTTCTGGGAGGTTCCATTTCTTGGTGTTCCAAAAAGAAACCTGTTGTGGCGTTGTCAACCTGTGAAGCTGAATACATTGCAGGTGCTGTTACTGCATGCCAAGTTGTGTGGATTCTGAATCTGTTGCAGGATCTGAAGATTAAAGTAGACAAACCTCTGAAGTTGATGATTGACAACAAGTCTGCAATCAATCTTGCCAGAAACCCAGTGTTGCATGGGAGAAGCAAGCATATTGAGACCAAGTATCATTTTCTGAGACATCAAGTTCAGAGTGGAGTGTTAGAAGTTGTACACTGCAGCACTCAGAAGCAGTTGACAGATGTTCTGACGAAAGCTATCAAGACTGATCAATTTCTTAGACTAAGGGATGAAATTGGTGTTACAAGTTTTGATGGAATATGAATTAAGGGATGGTATTAGAATATTAATAGTAATTCATATTTATTTAGTTGTACTATTTTCCTTAGCTCCTAAGTTTGTTAGAGGGTATTTTAGTATTTTATCTTATTCTAGTAACCTTAGTTTTAGCTTATAAATAGGGTGACAATCATTGTAACTTTCATCATGTTTTGTAGCCGTCATTCTTAATAGAATATTTCTCCTTTTCATCATTTATTCTACCTTTGCACCAACAGTTACAACTAAACCATAAACATACTACATCATTTTTTTAACCACAACCTACTTCATTACACTTGATACAATTAAACCTAATAACATTACAAAGCTCATAACACATGAAAACTTCATTTGCATATTAAGGAACTTAATCTTCATCTTCAACTCATCCTCTTTGACCCTGCATTCATTAACCTTATTCTGCTCTGAGCATAATTTTTCCTTCAAAGATGTAATCATTTCTTTTGCTCTTGGGGTTATCTCTTCGTCATACCAAACAAAATGGCCACACCTCTTTTGTCCCACAAGCTACAGGCAACATATGAGAAAAAAAAAGTAAGTCATTTTCATGATTGGAGAAAGTAAAAGTGATAAATCATAGAAAAATAATACCTCATACATCCCACAGCCATAAAAGCGTCGTTCTGGGTTAGAATCAGTCCATGATGTCATCAATGGTACTTCTAGGCTGCACAGACATTCGCCATGGTTCAATTTGAAGTTCAAATGAGATTTTGTACGACTGATTGCTTGGGAAAAACCATACATGGACAAGACGAGGTAGAAGATGTGGAAAAGATGAAGTATAAGACATGGAGGAGAAGGAGTAGTAGCATAATTTCTGGGGATGAGTAAAGGGATAAACACGATAAAATTAGGGTTCTTCATTATGTAGATTGTCTAACATTAATTTTTTTAAAATATTAATGTTTTATTAAAATTTATAAATGACATGACAACTATTTAAATGATTTGATATTTAACTGACCATGCACAATCACCATTTTGAGCGCCACATAATCAAATCAGGAGGTGAACTAAAAAAAATTCTAAAAAGTGACAACTTAAGGGACTAAAAAGCTGAAAAAATTAAAAAATAAACTAAAACATTAAAAATTTATAAATAAAAAAACTAAAAGTACATTTAAGCCTTTATTTTAATACTTTTAAAATAATATAAATAGAATAAAATGTTTTATACTAACACAATAATTAATCTCTTTTAAATATTACAAAATTTAATATAGTAATATCAATTACACATCGTGCAGATGCTAGGGTATTTGCCTAGTTTAGATCCGAAAAAGAAAAACATTACCTTCTTTTAAAATCAATCCAATTTCCAAACATGAACAACTCCAACAATAACATGCTATCTGCACCACTGTTATCTTCCAAATCCTCAACATCACTGTCCTTTCTTTTGCTTCTAATTGCATCATCCCTATTTCCATTCCCTACTATACATCATTCTTCTCATTTCCCCATCAACTTCACTTTGAATACACTCAATCTTCACCAAATATTGATTGATACCCAAAACCCATTTTCTTTCAAATAATTAAAAAAATTGAATTTTGATAAAAACCCATATAACAAATTTCCAAATCAACTTCATTCACTGTGTTAGAAATTTGAATCATGGTGGTGTTTACTTCTCACAAGAGTACAAGTTTCTTCTTTGTTTTTCTATGTGTTGCAGCTCTTGGTTCGGTTTTTTTGGTGTGGCAGAAGAATGTGATTAATGGGTTTTTGGTTTTGGGTGGAGAAAGGGTTTGGGAGTCACCGAAGCTGAGGCCTGTGGTTTTTAATTTGACTGATTTTGGTGGGGTTGGAGATGGGGTTACTCTTAATACTCAAGCTTTTGAAAGAGCTGTTTCTGTTGTATCTAAGTTTGGGGATAAGGGTGGTGCTCAGTTGAATGTGCCACCTGGTTTTTGGCTTACTGCACCGTTTAATCTCACTAGTCATATGACTCTTTTTCTAGCTCAGGGTGCTGTCATTCTTGGAATTCAGGTGCGTTTTTCTTCTTTTTTTTTTTTTTGGATGTGTTTGTTGTAGATTTAGGTGGTTTGGATAGCACGGATAGTATTAATAGTAGAAAAGACGGTGGAAAATAGATTTAGGTGGTTTGGGTGTCTAGAAAAAATATCAGGATATTCCGCGGTAAGGAGGGTAGATTAAACAACTAGAGGTAGAAGAAGAATTAGAAAAACTACCAGAAAAGTTATTAAAAAAATCTCGAGATTATTGATTTGGATAAAAGCTTGGTTATGGATACATTATAGCGGAAGTTGATCCATGTAACAAACCCTATTTAGTGGGATAAGATTTTGTTGTTGATGTTAATGTTGTATGCACTTAATCACATCTCACTAAGTAGATGATTCTAGAGTCATTTTGGGAACTAATATGATCCAGTGTAATCAAATAGCGGCGCCATGGCCACTATGGCGGATATGGATATCCACGGCGGTTTTTGGACTCATCGCAATGGTAAATATCGGTTGATATTGCGAGTTTTTACGCCTAATTTGCTATAACAACGCCGCAAAGTGGCCGATATTGCAGGTTTTTCCACCATAATCCACTATAACAACACCGTAAAGTGGCCGGTATGGCGGGATTTTGACTCTCCACCATGGACCGCCATCTACAACACTGATATGATCAAGTGGCATAATGCCAATGGTTGGTGACAAATGATTGGACGTGCATGTAAAACTTGTTTATATGGATAGCGCGTATCAGTCAAATCCTGGATCATTTGTTGCCAGGGAAAAACTGAACAGTTATAACAAATAATCGAGATTTGTTGAATTTCATTTTTCTTGGGTTGTTATATATGTGCATAAATGGGATGGTTGATTAAAGTTTGAAACTTTTGCTTATTTTGGATGATGATTGATAGGATGAAAAGTATTGGCCATTGATGCCGGCGTTACCTTCATATGGATATGGTAGGGAGCATCCTGGGCCGCGGTATAGCAGTTTGATTCATGGGCAACATCTTAAAGATGTCGTGATAACAGGTGATGGTTTTTCTTCCTTGTTCGTGATTAAGGCTGCACTTAGATTGACTTATGAACAACTTGTATCTGATTTTCTACCGATGCCGGACATAAGCACTTGACATACAAGGTGTCTAGAACTTTCTCTGACTCTATATATTCTCATAATGGACAGGGCATAATGGTACCATAGACGGACAAGGACAGACATGGTGGACAAAACATCTCCATAAGCTTCTCAACCACACAAGGGGGCCACTTGTTCAGATCATGTGGTCTAGCGACATTGTAATCTCAAACATTACTCTGCGTGACTCTCCTTTTTGGACTCTTCATCCATATGACTGCAAGAACGTTACAATAAAAAATGTTACGATATTGGCTCCCGTATATCATGCTCCGAATACTGATGGCATTGATCCAGGCAAGTTTCCATTTAATTCTGTACCTTAATATACGATCTGGTGGTTTGTTGTATGAAGAAGTTTAACCAACCCCGGTTTCAATGTTACGAGTAGATTCTTGCGAGGATATGTTGATAGAGGATTGTTACATAAGTGTGGGGGATGATGCAATTGCAATAAAAAGTGGCTGGGATCAATATGGAATTGCTTATGGAAAGCCTTCTAAGAACATAATAATCCGAAACCTCGTTGTTCGGTCTAATGTCAGGTAAAGTGAATTTCTAGCTCATCTTTCTTTACTTGTTGCATACCTTTCATCATCTTGTTCTTCATGTGTTTGTTGAAAAATGTTACACTCTCTGATCCTATTTATAAGAAAAATTTACTTTTTAGATTCTCCGAATCGATGAATAATCAATGTATTTGGTCTATTGTCCAGGTACATTAGTTAGTTATTCAAAAGGTAAACTTTTTCTAACAAATAGTACCAGAGGGAGTATTGATCATTATGAAACACATAAAATGTTAGTCATTGGATTATTCTGCATCTACATATTGTTCTGTGCGAAATGTTACAGTGCTGGCATCTCCATAGGAAGCGAGATGTCTGGCGGAGTATCCAACGTCACCATCGAAAACATTCTTGTATGGGAATCTCGGCGTGCCATCAGGATCAAAACCGCACCTGGAAGAGGCGGATACGTTCGCCAAATAACTTACCGGAATCTAACTTTCCATAACGTCCGTGTTGGAATTGTTATCAAGACCAATTACAATGAACACCCTGACTCCGGATACGACTCTTCCGCACTTCCAATTCTCAGAGACATAAGTTTCACCTCTGTCCGTGGCGAGGGAGTTCGCGTCCCAGTACAAATTCAAGGTAGCAAAGAGATTCCAGTTAGAAACGTGACTTTCCAAGATATGAATGTTGGGATAACATACAAAAAGAAACATATCTTTCAGTGCGCGTTTGTGGAAGGTCAGGTAATAGGGACCATTTTTCCGAAACCGTGTCGGAACTTCGATCAGTTCAACGAGCAAGGCGAGTTGGTTAAGCCTGCCGTGTCGATGAATGTAACAGATATAGATTATGAAATCTGAGGTATATATATAGATTATGTCTGGTTGTTTTTGTATGATCATTTTTGTGAGGGGATGAAACAATCAAAAGTCTTGCCTTTCTTAGGCGATGAGTTGTATATAAGAAAATTTTTCAGTTGGTTGTATAAATTTTACAATATTTCACAAATGCATGCATAGGTTGTCATGCACCAAACACGATAAGGACATTAACACATGATAATATGAAAAAATATTGAACATAACCACATGTATCAATGTCTGATACTGCATGTGCTACATCTTTAGTGATGCAGAACTTACAAATAAAACAGAAAAAATAAGCAAGTCAAATGCAGATGGAATACAATTCCTATATACCAACATAGCGATAATTCTCAATCTTTGCCTTGCCAAAAAGTGCAACAAATTTCTGCCTACTCTCTCTTTCCTTCCCCATTACATATAGCAGAAATTAGAAAATTTATCTTGCCACCGCTTTACCTCATATTTAGAGCAATTTTATCTTGGATGAATTTTGAAAATTTTAGAATTTTACAGGTTTTAATAGATATTTTCAATTTATACCAATTTTTTTATAGAAATTTACAGTTTTTTTACCGCAACAAAGACACATGTACTGTGAATTTAAAAAAAAATATACTGAAAATTTTCCAATTTGCGATAGCGGTGTAGTGTTTTTTCGAAAATTATAAAATTTCTAATAGTGGTATATCGAAAATTATGAGATTTCTGTGAAATGTCACAACACTCAAAATTTTAAAATTTTTGAAATTTCAAAAATTTTAAAATTTTCAATATGACTCCAGAATTTCAGAAAAACTTAAATTTTTGGTATTTTTCACAGAAACCTTCATAACTGGTTTGATAAAAAAAAATCACCATATATAATAGATACACATTTTTCACAAAAACGGTGCTACATACAAAAATACAAAACAAATTAAGATGACTTCCTAATTTCATCTTCTCAGTGTCTAATCCGTCTTGCATATGTTGATTCTCATGCTTTTGTATCTTTAGTACAGTTCTGTCTCCAACGGTTAGTGACGGAAGGTAATGGACAATCAGATTTCAACTTTACCTGAACTCAATTATTCTTGTTGACAAAACCAACAACAATAATTTTATGTCTGCTCGTAAACATAGGTGGAGTTAAGGTAAGAGAGGAAAAGGTAATGTTAAGTCTTTTTGACAGAGAGACAAATACAAAACTGTATCTACAAGCAATAGGGTAACCCATATCAGGAATCGTCATCCATTTTTCTTGATCCTGCACACTCAAGTGTTCTACTCATAAGGCATTCCTAATTTCAGAGATCATGTCATATAACAAATTGAATAAACAATTTAGGGTTTTAATGAACTTGAGTATCTAACTAGGTCCGAACCAACGACCATGACTTTTCACCCCATATAAGTAAAGCTGTAATAGTCCGAAAACTAGAATTTTCGTGTTCACCCACATCAACAATGTCATCAATGTATGGATGCAAGAAAACAGAAAACCGAGACAAGTAAAGATGTAATGGAAGATTGACTTTGACCCGCCAAATTTGATGGTTGACTTCTTTTGGTTTCGTGCATCTCTTTGCAGTCTGACTCCCCTAGGAGTCCTCACCATATTCCCACTATGAAGGATCACGATACACATCACCCTCTTCACCCTTTTTACTCTTCTTAACTCCCCTATTTGGCTAGTACTTCACCGACGATGGACATATACAAGTTATGGATGGATGTGCTAGTTCACAAACCTTTATCTTCAACACCCTTTGGCCTGCAATATCCAAAGTATTAAAATATGTCTTCAACTCTTCACACTCTACTTCTAAATTCATCTGTGTTCCACTTGCTTCATGATTGACATCATGCTCTTCAATGTGTAATTTCTTGCAAAAAACATGAATTAGATCTAAAGAAACATGATTTCCTTGTATTTGGAAACTTACAAGTTGACACACACAGGGTAACACATGTGTTGTTCTAATGAAGCAACCACAAGCATCTTTGCTTGCACCAATAAATTTTACCCTTTCTAGTTCATTTCTAATGTGCTGTATACACTGCCTTGAAATAAAACCATGCAAGTTGGTATAGAATAGAGTGTTATACCGATGCTCAATGTTGACAATAATTTTTTTGAAATAAGAACCTGATTGAACCCAGTTGCAACTTCAACATGGTGTTCACAACATTCCAACTTCGGCATAAATTTCCCCGACTTGTAGTCAACATGTTTTTTAGTCTCCAATGAGTAGACTCCACCCTAAAAACTATAATTAGAAATATATGTTAAGTTATGTAATAACATCAAAATGATGTCTGTGTACCTGTTCGTTGTTGTGTTATCTAAATGAGTGACTCTGTTAGTCAAAGCAACAACGAGCTTTTCTTTATAAGGTGCCAACCATGTTTCGCTCACATACTTAACAAACAAAAAAATATCAACACAAACAGTCCAAAGTGCTTTAAGTGTGCGACAAACTCAGTTTCTCTATTAACATACATGATGTTGTTTCATAGATCTATGACGTGTTCATGTCTTTCTGATTTAACATACTTTTTATATTTCATGCTAACATTTTTTGAAATATGGAACAAACACAACATATGAGTTGAATTTGGAAACACGACTTCCATGACATTCATCAACGTAAGCTCCCAATCTGATACCACAACCTTCAGTAGCAATTTTTGGAAGAGAACAACTCTTTAAGTTTCTCTAGTGCCCATTTGAAGTTCACCTCCCTTTCATGTTCTAAATAGGCAAAGCCTACTAAAAACTTCAATTTTGTTGAACCAACAATCTCAAGCAGTGGATGCCGATACCTGTATGATCATTATGCACATAATAAAAGATATGATAAATCAATGTATGTCGAAAAGATATCAAATTATGATCACGATGCACATTACCTATTTGTCTTGTATGTACAATAAAAAATCAGCACCAAATAAAACATATTCAACAACTTCATTGAATTATGATATGTCCATAAGATATCAGCAACAATGTATTTTTCTCTATGGATAAGAGTAAAAAACATTTGCATTTCCGTCAATGGACCTCTCTTGCTCACATTGTACATAGCTTTAGCACTATACACCTTGGTAACACTAGTGAGATTTTCTGGATCTTAGTCTTTTAAAGCAGCAACTATGTACCGTGGAGCCATGATGTACTTTATCATGTCATTTACAAAATGTCTTTCATGAACTTTTAAACGACCCAATATGTCATGACTTTCTAAATCCTTAGATAGTTTATGATTGTGCAGCCCACACCTAACTATCACCTTCCAACCGCTACCACTCGGGTCAGTTCTCAACCTTAAAGGATATTTCACTTTCATACTATAAATGTCCTCTAAGGATTTACTGCTTTCGGCTGCATTCTTCCTTTTATAATTTCTTCCCCTCTCACAATCTAGAATCAATTTATCTTTCTTACCTCGCTTGCCATTTATAGTATCAGAACGAACAGTCACAACAATAATATCATGTTGTTTGCCAATATTATGTGTTCATGCTAATACTTCAGACCAAGACTTAAATATCTGCCATTTACATCACATAAAAAGTATACTATAAGTATCATATATAGCAGAAAAATATTTAAATTAAACTTGTTATATAGAAAACATATCGCGTTAGTGGTGAAGAACTGCGTAAAATCCATGCACGAATCTATAGATGACCTTGCCCATTTCGGACCATACAAATAAAGCATATTTCCTATTTTCTGCATTGTTACCGAAAATTTGATTATATGCAAAATTTCTGGTATACCGGAAAATTTTAATTTTGCGCAAGTTTTTGTTCCTCCCCAAGAATTTTGACAATTTCCGTTATGGGTTTAAGATTTTTCAGAGAAATACTGGATTTTTTGAAATTTTTGGTATTTTTTACCGAAAATTTTCAAATAACCGGTATAAATGCGAGAATTTCTAGAAATGTGTAAAAATGCGTACCAGAAATTTCGGTTGTATTATTAGAAATTTCGTTTTTGGTATGTTAGTAAGAGTAAAAATTTTGAAAAAAAATTAAAATTTGGTTAATAAATAATAACAAGAATATTTTTAGAATTTTAAAATTACAGGGGATGCCAGATATAAGTGGTGGGGGTGGTAAGTTAATTTCTCTAGAAATCATAACTAGAACAATTTTCTCACAAGGACCCCCACTACCATATCAACAGATTTATTCTCTATTCTTTCTAATGTAGACTTTCCATTCTTTTGACCATTTGATTGGTTCAATACCATCACATCTCTATCAATACTCTCACCTTGAGAAGAAAACTTGTTCTGCATTTGCACAACTGAATTAAATAGTATTTTGGGGCTATTGTGATTACTTGCAATAGTGAATAGTATTCGTGATAATATGTGTTTTACATTCCATAAAATCTTCGTAGGTTGCGATTATATTCTCTTCAGAGCACCAAGAGGTCGCAACAAATGAAAGAGTTTACTTTGTAATTCGTTAGTTAAGTCATTGTGTTTTGTAAAATATTCTACTTTTTATCTTTCTTCAAACATTTAGAGGTAGCGATTATATTCTTTTGAGAGCGCTAAGAAGTCGCTTCAGATGAATCGAGTGACTTAATGATCAACTCATTGACTAATCATATTTTGTAAAAAAGTCATGATTTAGAAATATTTATTATAGGTTCAACTTGTGCTAATCACATAAACCCGAAGAAGGGGATTTGATTGTTTTTATCATTATATTACATCACCATTAATGAAGTTTATTAGTTTTATAGTTGACTCACAACTCAATCAATCATGCTCAGCGTTTTCCTGCTAAAATTATGACTATCAGATTTATGATAACAAGTACAATCACCTCAGTCTTGTCTAATTAACGACAATCCCAATAAATTTGATAATTTATTCACATTTTGTGAATTTTTGTAAGCACAACTTTTACCATCAATTTTACACTAAAATAAATGATATCGTTGTCGAGGATTATTGATCACTCTAACAAGTCAATTTTAGAGATTTTATTTG